GGGCCCATATCTTTGCGTTGGAGTGTCGGTTGGACCTGAAATTTGATAGGGCCATTGATCTCAGCCGGCCGCGCATGCTTGCAAATTTTCAGCCTCAGATCATGGATCTAAAGTTTTTAAAGACGTTGGCGGCTCAGTGTAGTAGGTTTATATTCAGATTTAGGGTTAGACTCAGATTAAGGGTTAGGGTTAGATTTAGGTCGTAAGTTAGAAGGGAAGGCAGCCGCCAACTCCTCATGTGTAGCATCTGTTCGCGGCTCGCACCGTTGCAGATGAAGCGTAGAGTAGAGTGTTAGGTAGTTAGTATTTTAGATTGTATAAAGTAGTTCAAAGCGTTGGCCTTGGGGGATTTTCCAGTTTTGGAAGTTCAGTTCAGGAAGTCGTTTCCTCTGCGCTTTTGTGTACTTCGTTCTGTCACCGCACAAGAGGAGTTGTAGAATTGTCGAAGTTACCGCAGCCTACAACTGAAGGCCTTCGGCTGAATGTTCTGAGCTAGCAGATAGTCTAATCAGGATATGAAAATTCGGACTTACACCTTCCGACGATTTTCCCTGTTTGTATTCCTTCGGGATTTTTCTCCCTGAATGACAAAGTGAAGTTTTGTTACTTCGGAGTAAGACTTGGATGTAAATTCAAGTTGTGTGTGTTACGCTGCTTGAGGCGCCTTCGGGGGTAGCCTCCGCAATATTTCTGGGAATGACTAGTGCCTGAGAGTTCAAACTCGTCAATAGACTGTTAAGTTGTGACACTGGATCTTTTCTCAACATGATCTCTCAGTTCGGATTTCTGTAGTCTCTGCGCGTTTTGTGAGTTGAATGTGTTGTTCACCGCGTGAGAGTGACTTCAGTTTGACGAAGGTACCGCATCCGAAGTAGGAAATCCAACCCGGATGCCCTGCACTAGCAGTAACTAGTGGAAGGGTTGTAAATTCGGAGTTGGGGTCACCACCTGCAGATCTGTGAGTGTACTCTTGGAAAATTTCCCCCCCTGAATCTTAAGTAGAGGTCCTAATCGACTTCTGAGTTGTGCTTTTATAGTTTCAGGTGTGTATTGGGGTGAACTACGCTGCACTGTGCGTCCTCCGAGTAACCTCCGAGTTGAGCACATGCATTATTTCTGGGATTGACAGTAGCCTGAGAATTCAAACTCCTCAATAGTTTGTTAAAACGTGACATTTAGTACTCCGTGTGTTGCCTCTGTCCCTGTGGGTTTGACCTTTTGCTGCTATACTGCAGTTTTAGCCTTTGGTGGGTTATTACAAACAAGATTCACTTCTGCTGGTTGTAGGAGTTGCTCATACAAAGAATCGGGGCTGTCAATCTCGACCATGCACGCTTCTATCTCTGGTACGTTGTACAAGTCGATGAATTCTTCGTTGTTGTCTTCAGACTCTTCGGCTTCAACTAAGTTGACTTGGCGGGATGAGAGTAGTTTCTTCTTGTTGAGAAGGCGGAACTCAATGTCTTTGACTCTGTCTACCATAGATTTCAGTTCACATTCTCTTTCAATATGTCCATCTTGAAGACAAAAATTGCATACCTCCACTAGAGGTGTGTCAGGGCTGCGTGCCTTGTACCTAGGTTGATAGTTGTTGCCGATATTGTGTCCTTGCAAGGTTGCGCCATGGGAGTGGTGATGAAAGTATGACGATGAATGTTGGCGTAATGTATTTGCATTCCTCCCGAATGTGGAGGTCGGTCAGTGCTGGTAGTTGTTCTGGCTGGACCCGTTGGAGTTGAAGCTACCGGACTACGTGCTACGGTGGAAGGGTTTTCTGTCGCGGTAAACGGCCAGAGCTTCAGCACCTTTGTCTTCCGAATCCATGTTGAAGGAGATTTCTTTGCTCATGAGTCTTTACTCTAATGCTTTGTACTCGGGTAGATTCTCGCCGGTTAGAAGCATTCTCATGCACATCTTGTACTCCTTTGGCAGGTGTTTCACGGTGTAATAGACGACAATCTCCTCTGGCAATGAAACACCAACCTCCTCAAGCATGTCAGCAACATTTTTTATCTCAGTCAGATGTGCATCCATGGAGATATTGTCAGTTTTTCTTAAAGCAAAGAACTTTTTTCTCAACTGAGTCTTTCTAGGACCGCTAGACGTTTCATATCTGCAATTCAAAGCGCTCCAATACACGTATGGGTTTTGATATCTTTTCAGCAGTGTGAGATTCTTTGCATTGTTAGTAAATATGCTAAAAACCCTGGCACGTGCTGCAGATTCACCCGGCCCCATGTGTGGTGAAGGTGGTGTGACACAATAATCAAACAGAGAGTACCTCTGCAGTGCGTGACTCTTCCTGTAGGACCAAACTCCGTAATTGTTAGCTCCCTCAAAGTGATAAGCTTATGGGATAGTGGGATCTGAGGAAGAAATTAGTGCAGCGCCATCTCCCCGTGGTAGCACACTATTGGTCATTTCGGGATCTCCCGACTCTGCAGATGCAGGTTGGTTCACAGTGGGCTAGACATGTTGACGAAATGACAAGCAGTGTCAGCAAGACACTTGGCGGAAGAAAAAACCAAAGAAACTTGGTTGATGAGCACTCCTATTCTACTCCCTGATCAGACTCATTGAGTTTGGAACTGAAAGAAATTGGTCCTAGGAAAGAGGCTCTGTTGAAACACAAATGGTGCACTATACTCTGGGGGAAACATATTGTCCGATTAACTGAAGGTGAAGGAACACATAAGTACCCGAGCAAGGACGGGTGGAACCAAAGAATGTTACTAAAAACTAGGAGGAGATAAGTCCAAGTGGGCACACATTGTTCAACAGAAAATGCCCCTGTCAATGTACATCTCTTACTACGCACATTCCGATCTATCTTTGAGCCTGCACCGAGCGGACGATGTGTATGGGCCGATCACAGCCTTTCTTCAAAACCAATACGGACCTGAAGATCCCTACTTCTTCTGATCATGAAACCAATTTATCTATCGGACGATAGTTCTACTAGTAGTTAGCTATAGAAGATGTATATATATCAGCAGAGCTGTTGCCAGAAGCCTCATGGCTTCATCGAATCGGACGATAAGTCCCAGTAGTAACTACATAGCTATAGTAGTAGTATACAGTAGTATGGGCGTGAGCTTCAGTTGTTGCCAATACAGTAATCATGTGGATATAGCCACAATTTTATGAGTACTTTACGTAGAAACATGGTCTGAAGTGTTATGTACAAACTGGAGGGTCTATCCATTCAGAGCCTGTGAACAAATCACTTGTTGACTCCTCTCTCGAACATTCATGAAAACAACAAAATTTTCCAGTATCTATCTTGATGAATATTAAAATTTTAACTCAATGAAGATTAATGATTTTAACTATTGATCTCAATAGCTGGACCTGAAGATACATGAAATGCTATGCATATAGCTTGTCTGATATACCGGATGCAAGAAGAAAACAATAAATGTGCACGAATACATCTATCGTAATGGAACTGTCCATATCTGGTCGAATGTGCACGAATACTGAACCCTCAACGAAACTGTCCATATCTGGTCGAGGAGCTTATTGCATCTCCGCGCTGTAGAGATGCATATGGCATGAATGTATCTTCAAATCAAGTGGGATATTCACTCAACTATGCTCCTCACGCAGGCCTCGGTGGTTTCTCAAATGTGATGTATTCAGCAATAATGTGTCAAGTCCGATTGGGAACAACATAAGCCGTAACAGCTCGGTATTTCCTAAACCCGTAAATGTCATCACATGTGTTAATCTTTATCATTCCTCTATCCAGCAATGCTATGAACACCAAGGTTGCATGTGACCATGCTAGGGGTTGAAGAATGAATCGGAACTAATTGAACTAATCGGAAGGACATGTGACACGTATGATAGGAAAAGATCAGAGAGAGAGAGTGTTACATATTTACGTTTGACAGTGCTTTGTCGGAGTTCGAATGCTTCCATTCGAACTCCGAATGGAAGCAGACTCTATATGTAATAAACTTGAGATTGCCACGCATAATTGATGAATAACTGAACCCCAATCGTCCATGGCAGGAAGATATTTGACTCCAAACGTGATAGAATATGATTGTCATGACTTTCAAGTGGTACTGTCAAAATGAGAAATGATGGGCATAGTGGCGGAGTTGTGACCGGGGTACAAGAAGAAAATTTTAATCGTTCATTGAAAAATCTGGATAGAGACTTCTGGACAGAAAGAAATTGTGAAATGTGAGTGTTTTACTAATGAATCCATGAAACCAGAATGATCGAAGTGGAACTAAGTTTAATGCTTGTGCTTTCTATGCTTCTTGAATCTTAAATCCTGGGCTTCTATTGCGCAAAGGAGGCGACCTGCATCTACCTCCGACTTACACTCCTCCAAACGCTTGATGCGCGTGCTGGACGTCGCCACTGACTTGGCTCCTCGATTATGGATCCCGTCATGAAGAAGCTCTGAGGTCAAATGACACACTTGGCCCCCACGATTACCGCAAAGCATGGAGAGCACGAACCACATTTCGACTTTGTACAGCTGTGTACTGCGTTAGCTCAGAAGAGCTCACGCAGTACACAGCTGTACAAAGTCCAAATGCGGCTAGTAAGCTCTTTTGACCTAACGAGACCATCCTGTATCAATCCACACATCGCTAGAAAAAGTTTGTCCATGAAATAATACAACACTCTAGTCATCAAAACCACATGCCCTTTACTCTGACACCCATGCAATGGAAGTAGCTTGGAAGCAACCTGCTACATAAAACCTGCTACAAAACTCAAATGCCGCTGCATCTTGATTATCAGCTTTCAGGGATGATATTTGCTCGACCCAGACCTGCTGGGCATCTGATCTCAACGCTGTGATCTTCGATCACCTCTAGGAGACAGGCCAGGTGTGATGTTTCAAAGTTTTGCACGTTGCGTATCATACGACTGTTGGTACTTAAATACAATAAAATTTGAATAATTTACGACACAGTAATCTCCTTAAGAAGTTTAAAGTTGCAACTATATTTCATAATTTCATTGCTTATCCTGAAGCTTACGAAGGTCATCCACTTTGTTCAGGAGCACAACATTAGACCGAAGATGGTGGAGGTTTGGCGAGAGAAATTTGCCCATTTGAACTTGACATATTCTATAGGAGGTCAAATCAGTTTTGATGTAAGTAACTTCTCCTGTCGTTCACATCGTGTTTTCAGTGAGTGTGCATTCTAACCATGTTCGCCTGTCTCCTGTACGTGTATTGCATGCCATATATCGTTGCTGCATGCCTTCCTTTGAAACAAGTCAGTTATGGTTCAGTTCTGGATATTCAGTGTATGCTTGTCGTAGATTCCGTTTACCTCTTCAGTTGAATGCTATGCTCTGTATGCTTTGCCATGTTTCCGGCCCGCCCTTTATTGGTTGACAGGATTCAGTGCATCATATTGTGCTTTAGATTGAGCCCCAATGGTTGTACCTCCCGGGTCTGTGCTTTTCGGCCTCTCTGCATGTTAAGCTATAGCGGTTGATCACGTCTTATACCAATTGTACCGTGCTTCATCTATGGAGGTTTTGGATTTTCTGCTTTAGGGAAGTGAAGCTTTTGACTTTCAGTAGGCGTGAACGTGGCACATGTTGAACCCACGAAAGTCTTGAATAAACCGTTAAGGCATTGTGAAAGATAAGATGGCGGCTTGGCATAGATGCTTATGTTCTCCCAGCGGTGAATAGGTATTTGCTGTCGTAGGCAGACACAGGAATTTCAGATGTGTGACACCTTGAAGTCGTGTTATGATGATGCAGTTCTTCCCCCAGGGATGGGATAAGACATTCTGTTTGCAATTTGTGGAGAAGGAGTTCAGTGAATTTCACTTCTTTGGAGACAAGACATACAAGGTGTCAGATGTGCTCGTTTTGTTCTTGTAATTTGCATCTGAGAAGCTTTGGCATGACATACCTTTCAGTTGCGTAATCGCAAAATTGGGCTACTCTTTCTCTTCTAGTGCACATAATTATGTCTACTGTCACCAATTCATTGCCATCATATTGTGGATTTTTTCAGCTGCCGGAATTGCTGTAAGGTTGTACGTTGTTTCAGTATGAACTGTCCTGACTCCATTTTCTTGTATTTACGGCGGAAACGATCATGAGATTTTTGAGTCAGAGAAGACTATCGGACACAGGTAAGTTTTCGCCCAGAATTAAAAGTTAATCTCCTCATGTGGGCATTTTTAAACGTGGAAACGTTCGAACAAGAAATCTGAATGCCCTGATTGTGTTTGTGTTGTGCAGTAACGAGTCCGGAAGATACTTTCAGACAATGCATGAAGCTTTTACTCTAAGTCGTCGAGATCGATGCACTGAATTACTATTGTTTTCCAACATATGGAATTTGGTTAGCAGAGAGATCGATTCATCATTGATAATTTATTGATTTTAAGTGGAATAAGTCAAATAATATAAATGTCCTGCACAGTGACGAAAGACAGTTCTATGGAAATTGTGTTCCTGCTGTATATTCATAAGTGAATGAGTGATTCTTGATCTGCATCAACTGCTCTGACTGAGGAGACTATTGGACTATGTATTTCTGGTCATTTCTTTCCCGTTCCTCCGTGGCGGAGAGAACTGCGTAGCTCCAGTTATGAAAGGCGTGTGATAAATGGAAGAATCATATCATGAAAAGAGCGAGAAAAGCAGACAAACGAATATCATTTTGATCCAGTGCCGAAAATTATGTTCCACGTGCAAACTTATCTTTAGCAATCTAAGGAATAACTATCTTACCGCAGGCCGAACAATGTCAGACAGGTAAACTCTGCACATACTCAGACAACACTGTGGAATAAATGGGAGCATAGAGAATACTTGAGTACATACCTGAGTAAGAAGCAAAGGTAAGGGAACAGTAGATGATGTGCAGGAGACGACAAGGAACAAAAGGAACTCCATAGAAACTCGAAATATTTTCATTTAAGTTATACATAACCTGTTGGCTTTTCTCTGTTGTTCCTGACTCGGCGTTGGATGCGGCGACTCGCTTGGTACAAGAACACCACCGGTAAATCACTGCATCCATAGGGAGAGAGAACTGACCAGTTATTATCGTCACATTTCCTTTGAGGTGATGGCTACAGACTTATAGTCAGAGCTCCATGCCCAGTATCCATGGCCAATCTCAACGCGTCTGAATGAGACTTGCGTCACGCACAGTACATAGTAGTACTACACCACTACATAACCAGTAAACTTGTGGAATGTATGTAAACACAGGATTCAGATAAACTAATTGATAGAGAATTGAACTGAAGAACTGACACCTGAAGAGGAGATGAAGGTGATTCCCTGAATTACACGACTGGAGATTTTGGGGGTATAAAGTGATTATGCCAGTGTCACCATCTTGCTCTATGCTTTGAAGGTTAGAGCTTCTAAGCATCTCAACGCTGTGATCTTCCATCACCTCTAGGAGGGAGTCGAGGTGTGATTGTTTCAAGATTCTGCACATTGCGGATAATGCGACTGTTGGGACTCGAATACAATAAAATCTGAATAAAAATTGAATAATCTAAGAGAAAAATTTTATTTCTAAATAGTGATTGCTTTTTTGGTTTCACAATTAAATCTCATGTATTTTTCAAAATAATGAACTGTTCTTCTGCACTTATTTTGAAAAATCTATTTCTTGTTAAACTTTTTTTTCCTGTTTAAATAACTGTTGAAGCAACATTGGAGACATTCAATAAAATTCTTTTTATATTCCATGAGTTGTGAATTTTTTTGAAAAGTTTTAAAGTAAGAAATGATCAATTTAAGTGAACCATTTAGATCAATAAAAAAGAAATTTAAGTGATTAAAATACAGAAAATAAATGAGCAGCAAAAGACGGATTATAGATAAAATTTAAATCAGTGCTACATTTCATCAAAGATTTTCTGAAAAAATGAATTTTGTACTTCTACCATATGGGCGCTGGGTCTTTCCGCCTGATATAGGATGTGTATCGCAGATGACTGTCTTCGATGAGATTTTGGGTGGTGACCTGTTCAAAGGAAGGTTCTCAGCCCTTGAAGTATTTTCAGTGTATGATTACCCAACTGCATTTTGCGGCTTCTAAATACCAGGAGCAGTAGATTTAGAATTCTTCAGTGATAGCCGGAGAGATTGAACGTAGACTGGAGGATGTGAACGAAGTCACAGGGTCCACGCTACAGCAAACAACATGAATAGTACCTATCACGACAATGACAATGTTGATGTGGTCTCATCAACAAATAAATATGAAATAGTTTTGTTTGTTTTTAAAGAATACAAATAATTTGCTTCCTGACCAAAATAACAGCTGGATTGTGTCTCTTCTCCTGGTGATTAAGGATGGTAGAGTTCTGTACTCTGGAAATAAAAAAATCATCTCTTTTCTGGCATAAAAGCAAGACTTCTGGAATGAGGTGGTGATAGTGGAAGGGGATGTTTATCTATGGGTAGATGCACTCGAGATGTAGCTTTTCTTTCACTTTTCATTCTCGTAGCGCTGAATTCCTGTTTGCTGTCAACATTTAATTTCTTATCTTCCGGATAAGTATATGTTCCAATACGTTTTATGGTGAAAGATGTATTGTCTTCAGTCTATAACTCAATATTGTATACTTGAGATCAGCACGCAGAGCACGACATGCCGAAGCTGCTGACGTACATCGGCGACGAGACCGTTCCAGAGTGCACCACGTCGGCGTGTCTATGGTGCGTGAATATATCTTTCTGATCAATGATCAAGGACTGTGCGATCGGACCCTTTGATTGTTCCAAAGCGTGAAGTTCTTGCGATTCAACGGCAAAACCAACCATCCGACTTACGAGCCGAAAGATATTCCCAGCGACTTGCCCATGTTGTTCGTCTACGGAGGCCAGGATTTATACTCGCCTACCGAACCTGTGCTGGAATTCATGAGCTTGGCGCAGAAAATGCCCGTCAGTGTAACTCCCTTACTACGCACATTCCGACCTATCTCTGAGCCTGCACCGAGAGGACGACGTGTATGGGCCGATCACAGCCTTTCTTCAAAACCAATACGGACCTGACGGTCCCTACTTCTTCTGATCATGAAACCAATTTATCTATCGGACGATAGTTCTACTAGTAGTTAGCTATAGAAGATGTATATATATCAGCAGAGCTGTTGCCAGAAGCCTCATGGCTTCATCGAATCGGACGATAAGTCTCAGTAGTAACTACATAGCTATAGTAGTAGTATACAGTAGTATGGGCGTGAGCTTCAGCTGTTGCCAATACAGTATTCAGGTGGATATAGCCACAATTTTATGAGTACTTTACGTAGAAACATGGTCTGAAGTGTCATGCACACATTGGAGGGTCTCTCCATTCAGAGCCTGTGAACAATTCACTTGTGGGCTCCTCTCTCGAACATTCGTGAATACAATAAAATTTTCCAGTATCTATCTTAATTAATTTTAAAATTTTAACTCAATAAAGATTAATGATTTTAACTATTAATCTCAATAGCTGGACCTAAAGATACATGAAATGCTATGCATATAGCTTGTTTGATATGCCGGATGCAAGAAGAAAGCAATAAATGTGCACAAATACATCTATCGTAGTGAAACTTTCCATATCTGGTCGAATGTGTAAGAATACTGAACCCTCAACGAAATTGTCCATATCTGGTCGAGGAGCTAATTGCATCTCCGCGCTTTAGATATGCATATGGCATGAATGTATCTTCAAGTCAAGTGGGATGTTCACTCAACTATGCTCCTCACGCAGGCCTCGGTGGTTACTCAATCGTGATGTATTCAGCAATAATGTGTCAAGTCCGATTGGTAACAACATAAGCTGCAACAGCTCGGTATTTCCTAAACCCGTAAATGTCATCACATGTATTAATCTTTATCAGTCCTCTATCCAGCAATGCTATTAACACCAAGGTTGCATGTGACCATTCTAGGGGTTGAAGAATGAATCTAAAGTAATCGGAAGGACATGTGACACGTATGATATGAAAAGATCAGAGAGAGAGAGTGTTACATATTTACGTAAGACAGTGATTTGTCGGAGTACGAATGTAAGCAGACTCTAGATGTAATAAACTTGAGATTGCCACGCATAATTGATGAATAACTGAACCCCAACCGTCCATGGCAGGAAGATATTTGACTCCAAATGTGATAGAATATGATTGTCATGACTCTCAAGTGGTACAGTCAAAATGAGATATGATGGGCATAGTGGCGGAGTTGTGACCGGGCTACAACAAGAAAGTTTTAATCGTGCATAGAAAAATCTGGAAAGAGACTTCTGGACACAAAGAAATTGTGAATCGCGAGTGTTTTACTAATGAATCCATGAAACCAGAATGAACGAAGTGGAACTAAGTTCAATGCAAGGTAAAGCCAGTTTCAGCTCCGATGTTTGCAATTTCTCTTGGAATTAAGAAGTGGATGCCGTTGGCCATTGGCTCAAGGATTAGGGACAAGGTAGTGTTCTTCTGTGTAAAGGGAAGGAAATTTGTGTGGCAAAGATAAATATGGGGCAATCTTGCAAAGCAAAATCTCCAGTCAGACGTACAGATGAAGAATCATGGCAGTGGTGTCCCATAGCCTATGAGGTAGGATTGTGACCCAATATACGAAGAGTCGGCGATTTGAATCAAGGAGCAATGTTGAAGAGGGTAGTTATAGATACAGAGGGATATAAGATTTCAAGAAGGTGGTAAAGCATATAGTCACATAGATGAAGAAATGAGTGACTGTTGAATGTTTTAAAAGAAATGCAATAAATCAAGATCACACTTTTTGACTTGGTTTTGACCGGTGGTGCCGTTCTTCACCTGCAATCGCCCAAGATTTGATCTGCTTGAGCTGATTTCTCATTCTATTTCAGCGAGTGTGTCAAAGGGTCTACATTCTACACCACTTGACGAGCACGTTTTCTGAAACCCAGCCCAAATAAAAACGTGTCACTCTGATCAGAATCACTCAGTCTCTTCCTTAAAACTAGTGCTTGACCTAGCTTATCCTTCAATGGATGATAACAATCCTATTGCATCAGCTATTAAATCGTCTAGCATTTCAAGTTGTTGCTCCATGAGCAGTCACTGCTTGGAATGGTGCTGAAATTAGATCATTCAGCAGCTCCAGCAGCGATGGCCGTTTGCAGCTGCAGCAGCAGTCGACTTCGAACGAGGCCTCGTTCTCCGTGGCTGATGTCGATGCAAGACGCGAGGGCGAGATTTGGTTTGCAGCATGTAAACTCGTGGAATTGCTGCATGTCACGTTGTTCGCCGGGGTGCAAGAGCAGCTGCGTACTGGTTGCAGTGCAGGAGTTGTTGGGCTCGTACATGGTGGGCTTGGTCTCCACGTCTACTTCCTGTGGTCAGCGGCCAGGCTTGAAGTGGTGCACGACCTCGAGTAGGAGGAAAATTCATGGCCATGCACGAAGGGATATCTGGCCTTTGCATTGAGTACTATCTTTCTGCCGGCTTTGACGGGCATCGCTCCTTTGATGGCTCCGTCCCAGCAGGCACCATTGCTACTCAACTTACTTATCGACTCTCTCAAGCTGCAAAATCTCCTCGTGCTAGAGGTCTATTTTACTTCACTGACGATCGCGATATACTCGAGTGACCCGAGATTGTCTCGCCAGCTTAGAGGACATTGTATGCAGCAGTTTGCTTCCAAGCAAGCGGATGACTGATATGCAGCAGCAACATATGTGAGCTCAGCCTACAATCTCAAGGGCCAAGTAGCAAAGATACAAGGCTAGGTCTACATTTTCAAACGGAACCATGCTTAGCGGATGAGGTTGACAACCTTGGCTTCTACCTCCGACTTAAACTCCTCCAAACCCATCCTCCTTGTGCTGGACGTAGCCATTGACTTGGCTCCTCGATTATGGATCCCGTCATGAGGACGCTCTGAGGTCAAATGACACACTTGGCGAAAGATTATCACAAAGCATGGAGAGCACAAGCGGCATTTGAACTGTGAATTTCTTTGTACTGCTTGAGCTCCTCTGACCTAAGGAGAAAGGCATTTGAGCTACCGCAATACAAGGATGTTCACAGTCCAAATGCTGCTCGTAAGCTCTTCTGACCTAACGAACCATCTTGTATCAATCCAGAAGATGAGAGTCAGTCCGTCCATAAAGAAATACAACACCCTAGGCATCAAAACCAAACGGTGCTTCCATCGACTCGAGGGCTTTCGTAGACGCGCTCTATGCTTTGAAGATGAAACATCGCAAGCCCGATTACAAAGGATTGGTAACAGCATGCTTTCAATGACTCAAATCAGTCTTCTTAGGCTTGTATTTATTTCTGACAAGAATCTTTGCTATTTAGAAACTCCAATGATATTTCCCAGATGACCTAGGCGGGGTGCCTAGGTAAACAACGGCGCCTGGAAAGAATTCTTCTCGATCACGCCAGCTATTTCATAAGCAGCAAAGTATGCCTGGAAATGTGAAGGTAAGTTCGCTCGTCCTCCCGATCACCTCGATGCGATTGTGGATAGAGAGGCGTGCCTTAGCAACAAGAGAACAAGAAAGTGATTAGAGCGCCGGAGGTTGTGGAAGTGATTTCAGAGATAGTAGCTCGCATCAGTTTACAATTGACTTCGCAACCGCGGGTTCAAAAGCATGAAAGCCGTTGCTTACCTAAGCGGGTGATCATCTGAAAGTAAACGTTGTAGTTTCAAAACAGCAAAGATTTTGACCGGACATAAACACATGACTAAGAAGTCTAATTTAAATCAACTTACAGCGTGGCAAAAAGCACGCTGCCTGTCCATTGAAATCGGGATTGCGCTGTTTCATCTTGCATTTTGGGGTTCACCGCTGTCTGATCTTGCAAATCGAGAACGACCAGCACTCCTCGTTCCAGGAAACGAGATCTCTTCTGCCGTCCATGACAAAGTATGGAACACCAGATTTCACTCGCCATCGTATCTTTCGTGAGCACCCTCACCGTGCAGACTGAGCTCCTAGATGGACTAAGCAGCGTAACGCAGCTTTAGGAATGCAGCGGTCGAGACTCATCCGACATGAATGCAAGTTTCCACTTTGAGCTGAGTCAGGTTGATAACTTTCTTCAACTCCATATATTTGATGTTTTCAAAACTCCCCAATGTATTCTTGCACCTTATTTTCCTGCACATGTTTTTAATCGTGCACAACAATGTCTTTAAGTTTTCGAGGGTAGTGAATGGTGGGTGGTCTCGCTCCGCTGCTACACGCGATAGATCACTGCTTACCCTCGCCTCGAGTTCAAGTCGTGTAACAACTTGGAGACATTGCTGTCCACGATTTGGTACTTCAAGTGCTCATTTACATAAAAATAAGGTGCAAAAATGTATTCATTGCGATGAAATTTGGAGTCCGCGCAGGGCGAGCTCGAAGTGTTCGCTCCGCTGCTTCACGATTCTCCCAGAGACAGTGTTCAAAATTGATAAGCTATATATATATGAAAATATATAGACTGCGACGGTACTGCCCAAAGATAAGCGTGGATCACCATGACACCGACTTCATTTCTTGCCCTTCCAGATATCACCCATTTATCAACTCGGAGTGCATGTATCCGCATAAAAATACAGGTTTTGAGAATTCAACAGCACAGACCAAGTATCTGGAGTTGAAAAAGATATGAACCTGACTTTGGGTCAGAATGGTCAATAAAACAAGCTCGGTAAAACCTTGAGGGATTGTCGGTGTTTCAGAAAGCTTGCCCTATCAGCGTGGAGAGGCTGGTATGGGATCTAACGCGGATAGTAATGAAGATATGAATATTCATAAGCTAGCAGATTGAAAAGCACAATGTAGAGGCTGAGTCTCAAACCTCAGCTAATGCCTCTCCAAATTGTGTGTTTGAAGGTAGTGAAGCTCCCAGCGCACCCATTGCTCGGGACGTGGAGGAAGCTGCCGCTCTAAACGTCCAGGGATTGTCGATGTTGACGGGTTCAAAAAGCTTGCCTGAGAAGCGTGAGGAGACTCGTCTGGGATCTAAGGCGGATAGTATCGGAAATCTCAGTGCCTTCATACTCTATCTTTACGTGCTGTAAAAGACAAGTTCTTCATAAATGGACAATCGAATTTCCTTTTCTATTCTTGCAAAATGTCTTATCTACATTAGAATTTAAAATAGAGTTTTCTCGAAAAATATATAGTAGTAGTATAAACTAAAAATTTTGATAAACTTATGTTCCTGACATATTCACGTTTATGCATATCATATAATAACGTGTCAGACAATTCAGAAAGAGTCAGTTGTATCAAACTGATTAGATATGTGCGTGTGGATTCATATCATAATCCAATATGAGGGGAGAAGCAAATAATGTATGCATAATAACAATAATAACTAATGATCCCCATGCGTCCTGTGGGACGCAATATGTTTGGCGCTCAGGGATTGCGTCCTTGAGTATCATCAAGAATCGAGGCTCACAAATGGAACACTAATTCAGAAACATACTGCAATTTCCAAACCGAGTGTCTTCCGGACTGAAGTAATGACGGCAATCTTTGCGGTAGTATTGTCTCGGGGTCATCCTTCGAAGGCAAAAAAAAAGAAACACCAAATCAAAGCCTTATCGTACCAGCAGCTGTTTTGTCCTGGTCAATTTTAATCAACCAATAAAGAAGGAACTGGACTATTGAAATTAAAGATCGATAAGTTACCCTGAGGAACTTGATTAAGTTTCTCAACTACAGGAATGACAAGGACAAGCCTTGCCAGAACTGCGGGAGATGGCCGTGTGACTGCGCTAATTCCATCTATGACGATCTGACCTGACTGCATAACACTAACCGTCCTTTCAAGAGGAAGTTGCTGACCTGCGGGATGTTCATACTACATGGACGCGGGGAGCTTCTCAAAGCATAGCGAATGTGCCACTGAAGTTATCAGCTCAGAACATACGTACAAATCACGGCTGGGGCCTAAACAGTGTCGTTATACCAAGTCAAAAAATCATCTGATGGATTTGATCCGCTCACAAAATTTCGGGTTTTGGGTACATTGGACGTAAACTGCATGAGGCAAAAAAAAACACAGCGAATCCAAGACGATCCACTATTTAAATGTCAGTATTCACAGAGCATTAAGGTTTCTTGAGCGGCGGATCAGAACTGAGACTGCGCCTCCTACGTTACACCGCTGTGCGTTGCTGGTGGCAACGATTTCACCGACTCCAGGTAACTTGCAGACCACCCGGGCACCGACTTAATATCAGCCTCGTCATCCGGGCCTCAGACTCTCCTTTCGTGTCTGAAATTTTATGGATTACGTGCAGGACGTTAGTCTCCTGGTGAGAGATGCGTGCTACCATCGGTTCCATGTACTGGATGAAATTGACACCACGTTCTAATCAAGTCTGAATCAACAGCAAAGCCCTTTTCCATATCGCACGAGTCTGTGTTAGAAGTTTAAATTATAACATTTAGAAATTGTTGGGTTGCGAGAGTAGGACGTGGGTCTCAGCCACAATCGATGTGGGTCTCATACCCACATCGATTTTCCTCGCCTCCAGGAGGGTTTCAGCGGATTGCTTGTCGTTATCACAGGCAAGAGTGACGGCGATAATTCTATGGCACAGCTCGTGGGCTTCAAAATCTTCTTAATTTTGTCCCCGGGTGTCAGTCTTTGCACCATTGCACCAGCAAATGCAAAGCTTTCGACGGATTACCAGTCGGGTTATCGGGTAGCAGAAGGCGACTTTGTGTTGCTGTATGTTTGCTGTCACCGCAATATTTCGAAAGTTCAGAAGAAAAGCGGTTCCATTGAAGCCATGAAGTTTCATGGAATTATTGGGCATATGCTTTAAACAGCCCTGTGTTTTCGAGGTTATATACAGAAACGTTTTTCTGCACGTTTATAGAATCGCATTGTGAATTCTCCTGGAGCTATACAAAGGTCAGAAATATTCTTGGGTTCAGCTCGACTGTCGAAACAATAGCTACCTTAGCTTGGGTCTGAATGGTATCTACTCTCAGATACCCTGAGATCTCGTTCTACTGATGAGATGAAAATGAGGCCACCCAATGACAAGTGCAAGCTATGGCATCTAGACATGAAGAGAAGAGCGGTCTGAAACAGCTCCTCTTTGAATGGACTTGCACCAGCCAAACTCACGGCAGACCGAACGAGAAACATTCGCCTGCTGCCAGGGACCAGATCATTCCCACCTACGACAGAACCTTCTTCTCCTGCGAACGGCTTGAAGAAATGTGCGTCAGCGTTATGGGAAAAAAGTGCGACGTGTCTGACCCACGCTATGCAACCCCTGGGCGTGGGATATCCAAATTTGATACTCGTGACAAGAACGAGGCTTGCGGATAGCAGCACCACGATAATCTGATGCCCCTGTCGGTGGCGTACTTTTGTTAGGACTTCGGAGGCACACGGCTCCAGTGGGGCTGTAGCAAGTACGAGGGTCCCAAGTGAGGTTCAGACAATTTTCACCTCAGTGGAAGACAGCGGAGCCTGACGAAATCACATGCCGTTTTGACGCGATGGCTGTCGAGGGTGTGAGAATAAAAACTGTGATAGGAACTGGTGAGATCGTTCGCGCAACTTGACTAAAGAGTCCGTTAACTCGTTTGGCTTGCTATCCCGACCCTCCCTTGCCCGCTCAGTAAGTAACTTGCGAGAATTGAAGAAGTTGCTCGAGGATGATCGAGGATGCTCTCTCTCTTCTCTCGTGCTGAAGTCAATCGAAGATGAGTAGTGGGAACTCGTCGCTGTCTCAGCTCTGTGCTGCTTCGAACGAGGCAATGGTGGATCCAGAGGTCCGATGGTAACGATCTCAGCATGAAAGGCAATGCGCCTACCAGACTGATTGTTGTCTATAATCCACCGACACATCCAAACCTCTAAACATCCAAACGTGCGGATTATGACGGTAATAGTAAATTCGCCGTTGAAGGGCAGTAAATTTCTGATTCCTTTTTCTTTAGAAAAACTCAGACGGATGCTGTCCCGAGTCTCTACGGGGCACCTCAATGAAGCATTGAAGGATTTGGTGGATGCCCCAGAATAAAAGAGCAGCTACCTACGATGCCTTTAGTCTTGGATTACGGAATAAAATCTCAGTTTGTCGAAGTCTGTCAGTGGATAGGATATCTGCAAGTTTTTTGAATGTTCGTTCCTGAGAGACAATGAATATTGGCACCCCTCGTGCCGTTTGCGAACATTGATTGGTCTTCCGCCTTTATTCTTATTTCATGCTTTTGTATTGGACTCTTGTGTATAATTTGGAGGAATTATAGTACAAGTATCTGCTGATTAGATCTACACTTTCCTCGTGATTAGCGACGGTGTTGGATTTGATGGAGGATGCTAGGTCTTATGCCTTTGCATGTACTTCACTTTTACATTCTCAATTGTTATGTAACTTATCATTGAAGTTTTCATTTGCAATCGGGACTCTTTTATACTTTAAATGGAATGGCTTAAACCCTAGTTTGGACAACAGATGGAATAATAAACAGATTTAAATAAAATGGTTTTCTGTTTTGTAAAAAACATGTGTACAATTCCACGTTTTTTAATATTTAAATCATCAAACTCAAACAACATTCTCACTGTTTTCTAAACCCCACGTTTCAGTTCCTTTAGTCTTTTCAATTACTTGCAAGATCACATGACCATTATAAGAAAAATTGGTGCTTGAAAAAAATAACTGATATACGTGTACGTCAACTTGATTAACTACTTGATCCAATATTTGATAAAATATATCCATACCCAATTTTTGATCCAAGTGACATGGTCTCAACAAAGTGAACCTTTTCAGACGTCATCCATTTACTCCGTTGCATGAAAAGAAATCATTGTGCCCAGTTTGTTCTTACATGTGAAAGAATAAACCTTAGTGCTCACGGGGAGAAAAAAAAATATTTTTATTATCTAAAGTAATTCTATTGATATCTGAGTCCATGTCCATCTCGTCTCGAATACTCTTCAGTTGTGAATGTTGAAAGCTTCTTTCCACGCTCAAAAATGTGTGCTGAACCCTTGGATCCATGTTCCCATGGCACTGTATTCAGATTGAAGCTCCACGAGATCATCTGCATGTGGTTGAAAAAGGTCATACGAACCTGCGAGCCGAAATTTTACTCAAAAAATAGTGCTATCAATCAGAATGCAGATCTCTCTGCTTCTGCTAATACGGAGGAATACTGAAGTACAAATGCTCAGGGATTGACCTTCTATTTTCTCATGGGCCTGATCTCCTAGCCTGAACTCACAATTATGGTTAAAACTCGTCGAGACACCATCTGAACGCAATAATTTTACATTCCAGCCCGAAGAACCCCAATAAACAACAGCTAAGTATTTTTGTAAGAAATATGGGTCGGTTGAAATCATCGCGCTCACGCAAGCATTCGCCCATCAAGCATGGCTGCAAACAAAAGGCCTTAGGTACTGTACCAAGTCTTGCATGAATGCGTTGATTTTTTTGTGCAATACTTCACATGCTAAAAAGGGCTTTTACTTGATTTTTGACAAATCTCTGAAAAAATTAGAACTTTTTCCGTGCTTAGTCCATGCTGGTTTCTCATCGTTGCGTAATTCGCTCTTGAATTTAACCAAGCTAGCTTCAGATTCTAGCAAAGAGATCTTCTACTTTGGGTATCACTTCCAACTTAGTGTTATCACTTAAGGCAGCTCTTATTTCTCAACATTTTATTCAAACTACTAGAACAACAATCCACTTGCATTTTTCTACAATTGCTTCATCCCAGACACCAAGATACTATATGCAGATAGGTAAGATACATAATACATCTCAACAATGTAGAGATATTTGCTTGATGGGACCCATCAAGTTTTGTTTTACCCGATGGGACCCCACGGACAATGTGACGTCGATGAGCTCTAGTAAATGTTCTAATATGAATATGTTCTTGTACTTGTTCTTATATTTATTGGACATCTATCTTGGACCGACGAGCACGAGCACGAGTAGCAGCAGCAGCTCAGCTGGGCAGGGGAGTGCGTGAAGACGAGATCGAGGAGGAGGGCGAGTTTGAGCTAGAGGAGGCGTGAAGGGGCGAATTCTCGGCAATCTGGTCAAGATTT